GTGCACAGCGAGAGACAGGGAAGGCAAGTGCAGTGGGGCGTCCTCGCCGGTGGCTCTTTATACCTGGCTGGGTGGGTGTCACCTGCCAGGCAGTCCAGCTTCCCATGGGCTTTGCCAGCCCCAGTGCTTGTGCCAAAAAATGATGTACTAAGGGAATCTAGTCTGAGGTAAGTAAAAGGCATTACCATTCAGTGCAAGTATGTCTGTGTTGATTCACATCAAGCTGCACTATAATTTTATGTGGGTGGCTCCTCGTTGGATATTTTGTTAAAAAATAGAATATCTCCCAGCTTTGTCAATCTGTCAATGGGAGCTAAAAAAGGCTGTGCCTTGTTGTCTGCCTCCTTCAGCTTTCTGTGTGGTGAAACTCAGTAGTTCAGCTTTGGTCATCCTCCTGTGATCACAATATCCAAGGGAGTCTTCATTCTTGATTTATTCCAAATATGCATTAGCTATTTAGAAATCTTCTTTAATTCCCTGAAATAAAAACTTTTAAAACTGCATTCCCACGTCTGTTATAGAAGAGAACTTCGCTCTGAATTTTTCACTCTCTCCTCACTGCTTGTATTGATGAAGGTCCTGCTGGCATTCAGCTTTCTCTGAATGTGCAGGATGGGAATCACAGTCCTTTTTCTTCTTGAAGAAAACCAGGTGACAGCCACAAAAGTAGTACTGTGTGAGGGAAAACATGCTAAATCTTTTCCTATCAAAGAGCTCCTATTTTTTTTTAAAGTGTTTTAAATGGACTTGGAGGAAATTGAGAGGAGAAATATTTGACTTTGTGTATTTTCATAACCATATTCAAATAGTCATTTCTCAGAATAAGTCCTTGAATTATATAATATGGTGAAAAAAATAATTTTTGATGAAAAGTGCCAGAGATTAGATCTGACAAAATATAATCATTACCTGAGCTTGTTACAGTGAAGGGTGTTTTGCAACCATGACAGAACATCTTGCAACACCCAGCAGAGTCAGAAACACTTGTGTACTTTTTTCCACTGCCTGTGCAATAGGGGATGTGCAGTGAACTGCTTTTTCCACCTTTGCTAATCAAGCTGCTGGGAAGCTGAGCAAAGCCTTGCATGGAAACAAACGCTCAGGTTTCCAGCTGTGTGTTAAACATCAGCTCTGCAGCTCCTACAGCTGGGCTGGGAAGGGAAGCACAAGGAGCTGGTGGGGCCTGCTGTGAACTGCCACCTCAAAATCAGGTTATCCACAGAAAGGTTCAACCTGGCAGCATTCTAGGAAGAGATTCCATATTACAGGAGAAGAAATAAGCTCCCTCCCTTCTCTGGCTGCAGTTGTGCAGTTGTGTTCACCCTTAACTCTGTTATCCCATTCTGGGCTGATATTTGTCTGTTGGGTCTCAGCTCACGAGAGTATCTGGTACATTATTAAAAACAAAAGCACAGCCCAAGTTGCTCCAAGAAGATTCTGATCTGCCCTGACTGCTCAGAAATTGTGCTTTAACTCTAAATATCATTATCAGCTACTGGAGTGTATCATCAACCTCCCTGCCTGGAGGCATGTCTTGGCATGGCTTTGTGTTTTCTTTTTTAAGTGTTTTCACCTTACAGAGTGGAAGAAAAACCCCACACAGGATTCTGGTTGCATCAGACAGAAATGAAATTTTATTAGAGACATTTTCCTGATTCAGAACAACCCGAGTACCGGCCAGGTTGGGTCTGTGAAGCAGCAGTTGCAGTGCCAGTGACCGGGACCACGGAGCATCGCGGGCAGAAGCAGCACAGAGCATGCAGGGCAGGGGAGAGGTGGCATCTGCAACTCCCAGGAACTGCTCAGAGCATCATCCTTCCTCGGGAGCACGGGGAAAGCAGCGGATTCGGGCGTTTCTGTTTGAAGGGTCTTGCACTGGAGGATCCTTGGTGTATATTCTTAGTCAAAAGATTTTCTTCCATAGCCTGTTTGGAGGCAAAGCAAGTGTGAACGTCAGAGCTGGCACTGAACCCCTGAGCCACCAGTGTCCCCCCAGACATGAGGATTGTGTGGGAGCGACCAGAAGCATTCCAAAAGCATAAAGGAAAACTCCAGCATGGCACAAAGGCCGTGAGATTTATGAGGGTCTGCAAAGAATGAGAGGGATGAAGAAAACCAGCTGGGGTTATTAAACTACAGGGTCAGCTGATGTCACCCACAAAATGGAACAGAGATGGGCTTTGCACACAAAGAGGAAAGAATTGCTAACAACAGTGAATCTCACATTTCTCAGAGACTTTAGTTTGTCCTCAGTACTGTTTGGCTCTGGAAGAGTATGTTGGTATAAATGAGTGCATAAATGAGTCAGGGTGGGACTGAGAGGACAGTATGCCCAAACCACAGTTCTCACCTTGGCTTTCACCGCCACTCCTGCAGGACTGGGACTGGGAAGATGAAGAGTAGGAGTGGGAACTGCTGATGCCTCCCGAGGTTCTTCCTCCTCCTCCTCCTCCTCCAATGCTACTGCATCCACCTCCACTCCCTCCTCCTATTCCTCCACTTCCCCCTCCCATTCCTCCACTTCCTCCTCCCATTCCTCCACTTCCTCCTCCCATTCCTCCTCCACCACTTCCTCCTCCCATTCCTCCTCCCATTCCTCCTCCCATTCCACTGCCACCACCACCATATCCACCACTTATGCTACCACCTCCTCCTCTTCCTCCTCCAGAATAGCCACCACCTCCTATTCTACCACCTCCCATGCCTCCTCCAATTCCTCCTGAAGGGATTCTGCAAAGAGAGAGAAAGGAGGGAAAAAAAAAATTAATCAAAAGCATTTTGATCTCTGAAGGCAATCGAGGTACAGCTGCTGCCCAGGAGCTGGCACTGCTCTGGACTGTACCCCTGGTTAGAGCCCAGCACAGCACCAAGACAACTGAGGCAGTGCCAAAAAATCAGCCTCTCTTTCAATGTCAGCTTGAATTCAAGAGCTTTTGTTTTTCCCACGTTCTGCCAGGAGACTTCTTGCAATATTTGGCACTGCTGCTTTACCAGTGTATGGCTCGAAATTGGAAAGCAGAGAATGAAGCTTTAGCTGCTCTTTCAGGCGCTGCAGAAAGGAAGTTGAATCAGCCTGAACTTCCAGAGACTGTTATGAAAGTTTGGAAAACTATGGTCATTTTCTTTCCTTACGGTCTTTTCCAAAGTGACTCCTGCCTGTTCAGCTCCTGGCTACCCTGGAACCAGGGTAAAGGGAAGACTCAGTGTGGGGGTTTCCCTGCCCAGCCCCAAATCGGTAGTTCAGAATTTCTGCATTGATTTTTCCTCACATGAGTTATGTTCTGAACACAGTTAAATCCCTCAGGCCCCGGAGGCGATTGGCCAAGAGCAGCTGCATCAGCCCCATTTCAGCACCAAATCTGATCTGCAAATCCCCACTGTTTGTTTGCTGCCTGTGGCTGGTAACAGTGCTGTGCTCTCTCAGAGTACATACACAAGGTCCTGCTGCCCCTCCTCCAGCAGCACCCGGTACTGCTGGATCTCCTGTTCCAGGCGAGTCTTGATGCCCAGCAGCATCTTGTACTCCTCGTTCTGGCTCTCCATCTCGCAGCGGATGCTGGCCAGCTCCTCCTCCAAGGGGCTGATCATGCCCTGGATCTGCTGCAGCTGCATGTTATAGCGACGTTCCGTGTCCTCCAGGTTGGACTGCAAAGAGTCGACCTGCAAAGGCCAAACAAAATGCGGCGTCGGTGGGAATGTGGCGACTTTCACTTGTTTTCATGGAAAAACAGGAGATCTTCACAAACCAGAAAAAAGTGTGTCTTTGCAGATAAGTTACCCAGTATCCCATTCTCCTCAGATGGATTTACCCTGCTGGGTGTCACCCTTCTTCCCACATACACACTGTGTCACAGGTGGAGCAAGTGCCTTTCCTTACCATGCTGATCTGTGACTGCAGCTCAATCTCCAGGCTCTGATATTCACGTCTCAGCTCAGAGATCTGCTGGTTGCTTGATTGTATCTCCTGGCCACTTGAGTGGACTTGTTGATTGACTTCTTCCATCTGAAAAACGCACATACAAAATTGAGGCATTTTTGATAACAAGAAGACATTGTATGGTTATCACAAAAGCACTGAGAAAGCAATTAATAAGAATAAAGACGCAATGCAGACTCTTTGCTTCCCACAAGCCACTGTGCCAACACCCTGTGTAATTCTCCTGCCTGCTGGAAGGCGGAGGCTCCATGTGCTTTACCACATAACCTGATACTCCAGGACTGACCTGCTACAGGAAACTGCTTAAAGTCATTTAATGTCCCTTAAATAACACTTTTTGCCTGCTGGATGTAGAGAGGTCCAGTGCTCTGTGAACAATTCAATATTCAAACCTCCCATGCTTTACCTTGGTTTCGTACCAGCTCTCCACCTCCTTGCGGTTGTTCTCAATGAGCCTCTCGTACTCGCAGCGCATTTCATTCAGCTTCTCCATCAGGTTAATACCAGGAGTAGCGTTGACCTCCACGCTCACATCCCCACCAGACTGTGTTCGCAGTCCTTTCATTTCCTGGAAAAAAACCACAGGACCCCACGAGGTTCTCAAAGGGTGAAGGTTAAGGAGAAATGGTGTCGTTTCAAATAAGGGGAAGGAGAGGGACATGGATCCTCACACAGCCCGTGGCTCCTGCAAAGGGGGCCTGTCTGCCCTTGCCATGGAACAGTTCAGCCATTCCTCAGGCTCCAGTGCTCACAGCCAGGCACTGTGACACTTCACAGTGACCCTGAAGTGTCCTCCAGAGGGTCATAAGGAATTCTGTTTAGGGTGCTCTTTGTGGGAATCTTTTCTCCTCCGTGGGAAATCTCACTGCAGAGAGTATAAATGCTTTCTTTTGACTCCTCAGTATATTCTATCCAGTTTTACTTCCATGACTTCAGCAACCAGATTTTACTTTGTACTGAAAGTCACTCATTCCTCAGTTCTCATTTTGCCAAGCGCTGAGACTCATGTGTCTCATTACATCAGCTGTGGGCAACTGTGGACACTACACACTCCTCAGAATCAAAGCCAGGTTGTGTCAAGTTGGATGATCAAAGCCAGTGGCCAAAACCTGGTTACTGCTGGTGGAAAAATCCACGTGAAGTTCTCTGAGTGTTGTGTTGTCGGTGGTTATTAAGTGTGGAGAAACTTACCTCTTCATGGTTCTGCCTCAGGAAGATCAGTTCCTCTTTTAGGGATTCAAACTGTGACTCCAAGTCAGATCTGGCTAGAGTCAGCTGATCCAAAAATGGGCGTAATCCATTGATATCACTTGCCACACTCTGGTGGAGACTGTACTCAGTCTCATACCTGAACAACAGACAAGACAGAGAGTAAAGGTGCTGCCAGACCTCTTTGTTTGGTACCTCCAGTATGGGCAGTTCCCATCCTACATCTCTGGTCTCTAATCCCATTAGTCAGTCCTTAAAAGAAAGGACATAATTCTCTTTCTGTCTCAGATAGGTTTGTTTGATTTCAGTGAAATTTATTCCATGAGGATTATACTTAAAATCAACATGCAAGAATGGAGAAACTTAGATTGGAGTCCTTCAAGAACCTGTCTGGATAAAACCAATAGTGAAAACCCAAAGCAATCCTTCTCAGAATGCTTTTCCCAACAATTCTATATTCTGACATCGGAGCCAAGAGGCTCCAGCCTCTACAGAGATTAATTGGCAATGGGAACCCATGGGGGTAAAAGGAGGCAGGATGGAATGAGCCAGAAAGGGAACCACTCACTTCATTCTGAAGTCATCCACAGTCATTCTGGTGTTGTCCATGTCAAGAAGCATCCTGTTCAGGTCCACATTTGCACCAACAATCTGAAAGGGAGAGGGCAGGTGTTATTCCATAGTTGTCTTTTCAGCCTGACACACACACAGAAGGAACTCCTGTGCACAAACACCTTGCAGAACGGCTTTGTGGTGATGTCAGACCTGACTAGTGCTGCAGGAGCTACTGAGAGAGTTTATTGCTTCCAGATAAAAGAAAGTGCCTTTACTGTCAATTTTGGTTTACAAATATGCATTAAAATTACCTTTTAAGAAAGAATAACTAAATAAACTCCTCATATTCGAAACCAGTGGGAAAGCAAAATTGCCATTGCTTTTGGCAACAGCCATGTTCACGCAGGAGATATGGGACTGCTCATTGGCTGAGGGCTGGAATGGGGCTAACTGCACCTGCTGCTCGTCCTGTGTATTCACAAAAATATCCAGTGACTATGGCAGCAGTAGCACAAGCCAAGCAATGATTACATCTGCTGTTCCCGAGGGTGAGAAACAAGCAAGCAGCAGCCCAGTGGGGAAGGGAGCACGAGACAGGCCCCGTGATGGGGACACTGGTGCTGATCTGCCACTGCCCCCAGCGATGCCACCTGCACCAAATACACCTGTGCCACAACACACACAGGAAAACTGGCAGCCAGGCTTGGTCCCCACACAGCTCTGCTTCCTGGCCAAAGCACAGGAGGGGGAATATCACCCCAAACAGGGACCTTCTGCTGCAGGAGCAAGTGCCATTCCAATAAGAACCCGTTCAGAGTTAGTCAAACTACATCATACCTGGTTTTGCAGCTCTTCGATTGTCCTGTAATATTGGCTGTAGTCCCTGCCCTGAGAGGGACCTTGACTTTGGTACCACTCCCTGATCAGCCGCTCCAGCTGAGCATTTTCTTCCTCCAAGCGTCGCACTTTATCCATGTAAGAAGCCAGGCGATCGTTGAGGTTCTGCATGGTCAGCTTCTCATTTGTGGAGAGCAATCCAGAGTCCTCCCCGAACCCCATCCCACCAAAACCTCCTCCACCATAGCTGCCACCACCACCGAAGCCCCCGCTGCCCCCGAAGCCACTGAATCCACCTCCACTATACCCACCACCTCCGCTGTATCCACCACCTCCACTGTACCCACCACCTCCATAACAACCTCCCATTCCCCCAAATCCGCCCCCTCCTGACCCAAATCCTCCTCCAATGCTTCCACAGCTCATTCCTCCTCCGTACCCGCCACCGCTTATCCTGCCACTGTAGCTGCTGCGGCTGATCCTCCCGCAGCTGCCGCTGCTGAAGCCCCCTCCATAGCTGCTCCTGGAGCCTCCTCCTCCAAAGCTTCTCCCAGAAAAGCCCCCGCCGCCTCCAGAGGAGGTGTATTTTCTAGTGGACACTGAGGAGTATCCACCAGACCTGCTCCCTCCACCGCCTCCACCACTGCATCTTCCACCACCACCGCCACCACCACCTCCTCCCCCTCCACTGCTAATTCTAATGGTGCTGCTCGAGGACTTGGTGCCACAGCTCATGGCGACAGCAGGCGAGAGTCAAACCACAACCCAAATTTAGCTGCACAGCCCGATAAGCCTCAGGACTGCAAACCTTCATACCCAGCTCTCCGTATTTATACGTTTGACACTGGGTGTCACCATCAGGGTGTTTCCTTCTCCCAGGGCATTTACCAAATTTCTTGTTTGTGCCAAGAATTATTTGCTGAACAGTATTTTTGTGCAGCCATCTCAGGCAATCCAGCCCACGGCTGGGCTTCTGGGGCTTGGGTGAGGTTTAACATCTCACTTCTTTTGGGTGACATCCTTTTCATTTAGCTTTTCCTGGAACAGGTGCTTTCTTCGCTAAGATTTTGTAGCTGCTATCACCAAAGACTGTTGTTTGTTCTCTTTTGCTCTTTCCTGTGTTGTGTATTTCAGATTTTCTACACACCTTATATTCCTTTTCTCACCATATGGGGTAGTGCAAGAGTTTTATTAATAGGACTGTGTGACTTGTCTCTAGAGATTGTCCAACTCGTGTGTCCCTGCCAGCACTTAAAGAACATATTTAGTGATATGAGCAGGCTATTTCAAGCAATGCAGAGGGATTCTTATTTAAAAATCAAACTGCCTCCTTTGTGAAGAAAGCACCAGGACAGCACACAGAGAGCCAAGTCTTAGAACTCAAATGGAAAAAAAAAAATACTGGACTTTTTTCACTAAGAAGCTGCTGATCTAAAATAGGGGGAAGATCAAGGATACTTTAAATGTACTACAAAGTCAATTGTAGCCCAATTAGAAGCTGTATTATTGCAGACAGTTACCTGAAAACTACTGTGTGGGAAGACTTTTTATCGTTTAATATAAAGCAGCTCATGCTCTCTATTGTCAATGTGTCATATACTACAGGTGATAAAGTACATCTGTATTACTGCTCTTAAAGCAGAAATCCTTGAGACTCTAAAATAAAATCCTGAGAGAAAAGGCAATTTAAATCAGACTGTTGAGACCACAAAAGAAATGACCCCACACTTCAGTGTCGTCCTGATCCCAGAAGTTGACCCAGTGAAGGGTTTCCATCCTGCCTTGGGAGGTTGGATGCTAAGCCAGTGTCTGAAGGCAGATGTGCAAACAGCAAACCACCAGCCCTTGTATCTTGCTGTAGATGGACCCAAACTGTCCCAGAGAGCTCAGGGGAAGGGGCACAGTTTCCCAGTGACAGTTCTGTTCTGTGTGACTGAAATGTCTCCATCAGCTCCCTCCTCCCCACGGGGTCATGGAGTCTCTAACGACTGGAGGCAGTTACAGGGTGTAGCAATTTCTCCCCTGAACCTCAGGTGCAGGAGCAGAGGCAACACCTGAGGAACTGCCATTTGTGCTCTGCTGTCCTGCTCCCAGCATCTCCAGGAGCTCTTGGAGATGGGAATGCAGTGCAGGCCTTGCTTTTCAAAGGCTGCCTTGGTGGGAAGTTGTAGATTCAGGATTATTTACCATTTTCTAACCTCATCCCTCCTCCTGGCCTTTGCTCCGTGCCTGCGCCGGCGTTGCTCTGTTGCTGCTTAGGCAATCGCTTTCAAAAGCTCCCAGATTTTATCTTGCTATTTGATCTCTCTGTGGCTCAAAGGTGATGAAAGATTCCGAGCAGGTTGGTGATGTGATAATTTCTCCTGAGTCTCAGCTGGAGGCTGGTCCTGACACCCCAGCAGCATAAACAGTTTCTGCTTCTGCACGGTCTGTTATTGGTGCAGAGAGATGGACTTTGCTGGGGGCAAAATGCTTTTTTCATTTCAGTGCTTTTTTGTCTCTGGGTCTGGGGAATGTCACCTTGCCAGTGGGGCCCTTTGTCACAAACTCTGCCGTGGTGAGTAAAATGGATTGTCACGTTCAAATTCCCATCAGAGACTCCGGGAATATTCCTTAAAAATACTTTTTGTAGCCAAGCTAGAACAATCTGTGGGTTTGTAGGTGATAGTAAGCAAAGTAATTCCTGTAGTTATTAAAACAAAAGTAAAAGAATTGCCAAAAGAGTCTCTTACTCTGTTTCTGTATTTTCTGAAAACACACATTGTTTCCTATTCAGGGTCTTTTTCCATATGTACCTGTTCACAAAAGGGATTTGTCCATACTGGAAAATGGACACTTCTTATTGCAGGATTAAGAAAAAAATTTTAAAAATCAAAGCAATGAGAGAAAAAGAAGTCAAAGCATTGAGGGTGGAGAACTTCCACTAACCTCAACATTTCATTGTAGTTCTGTGTTGTTACCACTATTTATGTATAAAGGAGGATCACAAATCACAGATTTTGCCTTTAGATCTTTGGTAGCTCATAAGTCACGTGCTCACAGGATGTTCCTGTTTTGTCTTCAGCATTGCTATGATTTAATTTTTGTTACTAATTTCACCTTGGAGGTTTTATAGAAACCCTGCTGGCTGTGAGGCTGGGCCATATCCCAAAATATTCCTGCAGCTCAGAGTTGCCCTTGGGATGTTTGGTTTCTGTCAGTCACTGTGTATCTGTCTGGAGTCTGACACTGAAGTGCCTGAAAAATACAGGTGAACTCGAGTACTTCATGCTCCCTCCGGTAAAGTTGCACACACTGAATTCCCTCCTGACTTATTTTAACTAATTGATTATTAAATATTTAACTGTGCAAATGTTTACAAATAAGAGAAGATCTATTCTGTGGGCAGGATGCATTTTTCATTTCTGAGCTCATTTAAAGAGCCTTCAAAGGTTCTTGTTCTCTGATGCTTTCCTCTAATGTGTTATAGGATTATGTGAATTTATGGAGTTATTACCTAACGGGAACTGGCAGTTTTAGGTCCTTCTCTGGTCTCTTTCCTATACATGATGCACAGTTGAATCATTAATGTTTCTGTGTAGATATAGCATCCATATGTTATATAACACTCCTGTTTCCCAGTCAGAGCAGAATAAGGGCATTTATCCCCCCAGCCTGCAGCTGCTGGAATGTTCCAGCCCTGTTCAGAGCATCTCCTCAGCCCAGCACACGGCTCAGCCCAGCTGCTGTCCCTTCACTCTCTGTGGCTGTTTTCCTTTCAGTCAGGCCTGGTGACTGGTATCAAAGAAGTGACTCCCAAGCACCCTGAGAGCAGCCCCTGCTCCAAGACTGGGAGGCTTTTCCAGCAGGCTGGAGCTGCTGCATTCAAAAAGAGCTGGAGGAAATGTGTTCTCAGCTTTGTGTCTGTGCACTGGCAAACTGAAGCATTTCCCCTTAATTCACTGTCACACTGATGCCTCTTTTCACCTATTTAACCATCCCTTCCCATCACTCTTAGATATTTTTGTAAGAAGAGTGAACACTTCAAACCAATGTCTGTCTGAGATGGGTGTTACCCCTCATGGAAGTGAAGCAAAGCCAGGTGGACTCTGGGAGGGGTCGAGTTCCTTCCCCCCAGCGCAGTGACTTGGCTGTTCTCATTGTGCAGCCCTTGAACATGGCCTTGAATATGGAAGCATTTGGCAATTAAGAGGCCTGACAGTGCTCAACAAAAGAGAGATCAGCACAGTACACACAGGCAGTTTGGAAATTACAGCTGTGCCTTCAAATGGACACATGGATTGCCAGGGAGCTCTGAAGCCAAACAGGCAGGAGTGTGTGTGTGCACACTGAGTTTTGCCTCAGGTTGCTCTGAAGGTCTTGTTCCAACACGTACCTCAATTATCTCCTCAGAGCACTAATAGGAACACCAGATAAGTATCCGAATTGCAACACTTTGTGCTCATAAAATTAAAGCTTATTATGCTGATTAATCCCTAGCGAAATGCATGCAAATAAAAAGTGCCAAGTTCTCCTCGTTCCTCAGTATCACTGCGGCCCCACTTTGAGCCTGCCCTAAGCTTTGACACCTGACACTACAATGTTTGTGTTTCTCACTCCTGCTTTGCAGTGGTTTTTCTAGCTCTGTTCTTCCATGTGAGCCTGTTCTCTCAGTGAGCAAGTGCCAGTGGTAACCCAGCTGCAGGCTTTGTAATACAAAATGGAAAAAGGAAAGAATCCTTAAACTGGCATTTTCTTCCAGGGTCTGGTAAGAAACCATCACAATTTAGAGGGCTTTTTGTCTGTAGTGAGCACTAATGCCATGACTGAGTGGGGTTTTTTGTGAGTCTATTGGTGGTTTGTATTTATTTTGTCACATACTGTAAAATGTAGCAAATAAACTTTATTATGAAGCAGATTTTCATTGTAGATGCAGACTAAAGGCAGAGATTTTAGGTAAGGAAGAATGTGGTGCAATCAATGCTGAGTAGCAAAAGTAGTAATAGTACTCTTATAATTACTTATCCTAATGGCTCAGAAATTGTGCCTTATTTAACATATCCATATAAGCCATTAAATCAGCAGCAGAGCTGCCCTGGGTATTGCCACACGCTGCATCCTCGTACGTGTTTGTGCTCAGTGCTGTTTTCTCAGCCCCTGAACTGCCCCACAGCCCTTCCCACACTCCAAACTCCACTTTCTGCTTTGCTTCCCCAAGGATCATTTCAGAGGGGTTTCTCCTGCAAGGTTATGTGCAGAGATGCCTCAGGATTAGACAACTGGCTGTAAAATATTAAAGGGAAGTTGTATCTTTGGAAAGAAGGGCAGGAGCAAGAGGGGCCGGGAGTGCTCAGAGCTGCTGTGGTGGCACAGAGCAGTGAACTCCATCCAGCACGGAGAGGCTGCTGCTCCAAGGAAATCATATCCAATCACCCCAACAGCCTCCCGGGTGTCACTGTGGGACCAGAGACCAGGTAAATCACTGTAACTCACCCTGGGACAGCCAGGAAACAGGCACTGAGCAGGAACAGTTTTGAGGTTAACCTGGCAGGCTCCAAGGGGAGGTGTGACAAGCAGGGCTCCTGGAGCACTCCTTAATTTGGGCTGTCAGTTGAGTACCCTGGACAGACAGTCTGAGAAAGAGCTGTCACCACCTGCCAGAGGTGGAAAGCGAGCAGAGCAATTGGAGGAAGCAGGTTCAGAGGACAGGGAACAAAACAGGGACAAGAGTGACGTGAGGCTGCAAGGGGTTAAAAATGAAGAGGGTGGTTTTGCAGCAGGTTGGAGTTGGGGGTATCCTGGC